AACAGCAGCCCCAAGTCCGCCGGCCCTTAACAGGGCTAGGGCTCACGAACATCTTTTTCGAGGGGAATTGGGTGGACCCAGCCAACGCTACTAAGATGCAAAGAACCTAGTTTTTATTATTATGTGTACTGCATAACGAAAACCAAAAACCAACTCGAAGAAATAAATAAAAACAAAACACACATACATACATGTAGTCTGTTTTGAAAAATGCACACAAATATACAGCAGTGCCGAAATACATCTGCCCAGAGGTTTGACGGGCACCATGTACACCGGACACAACAACTATTCAGAACAGGGACGTCAGGTTTTGTGCCGATATATACACATCTGGCCGGCACTAGGCCGGAACACCTATTGTATGTTTTTTTCAATTCTTGTTTTTAATTTTTTTAGTTTTTAAAAAGTCACGTAGCTATTTTTTTTTTTTCTTAATATGACACAACGAGTCTTTTTTTGTTTCTCCCAAAGCTATTTTTCCCGTCGTTATTTGCAATATGTAGAAACACACAGACAGCGTGTGTCCGCTAACACCACGAGGTACACCACCAATTCGTCGCGAAAGTTATCCCGGAGTCGTATCGATTGTTCGTGATAGTTGCTGCTGTGTGTGTCGACAGAGTGACGACGTAGAACAACTTGATTGGACAGTTTGCATTGCGGGACTGTCTGCGTTGAAGATCGTTGAATAGCCACATATATCAGAACAGCAAGGAACGTTCTGTGGGAATGTTCTTCGTGAATGGTGCATTACCCCGAGTGTGTTTCTTGTGGATAGTGCATCAGTCAGAGGGTTCATGATACGTTGTGATGTACGTTAGTTAGCCCCTGTCTGTTGAGTCTTTGTGTTCCGATTATTAGATAAAGGCTGACCATTTGACTACGTGCACAGTCATCGATGACTGTGCACGTAGTCAAATGGTCAGCCTTTATCGAATACCGATATCATTGTGTTCTGCTTTGTGCGTTGGTCGAGCGACACGGGTGGTGGCTGCGGTGCTGCGGTGCTGTGGTGCTCCCCACCCTTGCTCACTTCACCTTTTGACCTGTTCTCCCGGTCCGAGGTCTCAACAATAAAACATCTTTTCCCCAGAAGCCACGAGTTTACCAACATCGATGGGCTAGGGATACATCATGTTGGAAGCAAAGCTGATCAGCTTCGTCAGCAGAAAACGAAGCTCCCCTACCTACCATACCCACAACATTTGGTGATGTACTTGATTTTTTTGCCGGTACAGCAGTACCATGACCAATCGTAGTTGAATCATGCATATGCATACGGAGGTTTTCGCGCCCTCAAATGGGCGTCTCTGGCAAACATGTTCGAAGTCCTGTCGAAATTAAGCCCTCTGATTCGGAGGCTAACACAGCTTTTTCTCCCACCAAGAGCAGTGCTAGATGCGCTATGCTATTGTACTTTTGAACGTGTCCACATGGAGTATCGTGTTACGCCATGGCGGCAGTCCATGCGTTGAGGTATGGTTGCTACAACAAGTACGCTTAGTTGTATCTTCGGGCAGCGGCACACCAGCCTGAACTACATCTTGAGAATCGCACCTTACAGTAGGAGACAATTCTATATAAAGCCGTGGTTTGCACCTTCACTCTTATACGAGACCCTCAACACAGTTGGCATCGACGCGTGAGGGTTTCGCCCTGCCTCCCCACCCCATTATCTCCGGCATTGCAGCTAGCTGTGAACACCACATCCAGACGCACACCTGTACACCTATAAGCCGAAGGCCGGCCATCGTTAGGCCTCCACACCAGCANTCGAAGGCCAGCCATCGTTAGGCCTCCACACCAACATTTGTTGTTGACCGTGCCGAATCGCTTGCCCTCGAAAAACTTCGCTCGTCTGTGTGGCGCCAAGAGACATCTGGGCGTTGGGGAATCGTTGTGATTGATACTGCGAATCTGACTGCCGTGCCGTTGTTCGCAATGCGCAAGCACCTCATTTTACGGTTCACACTCCCAAAGTTCATACAGGAATGTGTAAGATCGCTTCGCTAAAGTTTTTCACGTACCACCTACCCCAGTGCAATCAACAAGCATCCACTAGAACAACAACAAGGACATCAGCAACAACAACAACTGCTGTTGAGAGGGTACTGTCATATTCTTCTGAGTCTCACATTCCTCGAAGAACTCCACGGTCGTTCAGACAAGTTTGTCTTGGTTGATGCTGTGGTATACCTCGTTCAAGAGGTACTTGTCGTAGCCCTTGCTGGACCCCGGTAATGCGAGCCGGAACTTGTGCCGCCAGACACGGTCTCTGCCCGCCCCCTGCGTTTCCCTGCAAAGCCGCGACCCCTCTGCTCCATCTTGGCCTTGCGGGCATTGGTGGTACATATGTACCTGGCGTCTGATGGCGTGTACAGGGTAAACCTTAGGACGGCGTCGGATGCCCGGTGATGGAATCGGGCACCCGCTCGTTACCATGGCCGACCCCGACGTAGTCGTAAGCGAGTACCCACCACGTAAATGGTGGTGGCTCACCGCTCAAGGAGTTCTTGTTTCCTTTGTGACGGAAGAAGAAGTAGATGATCTTGCTGAGGGTGATTTGGTCTGCTGGTGGCGGTCCATGGTCGCCCGTCGGCGGTGGTTATTGAATATCTCGACATCGTCTCCCTGCCCCTGCCCCAACGCCCAGTCGTCAGGCGGCCCAGGCCGTGTGGCTGCCTTGACGTCGCCACCCTTCAGCCGCCCCTGGCCACAGCTCACTACCTGCGCAACGCGCACGTGCCTCGAGCATTCTAGCAGGCTACTGTCCAAGGTGTCCTCCTCATCCCAGCAGAAGCGGCACCGAATGTCGCTGCACTGCTCATCCCCTCCGCACCCGAAATACACCTTGTACTGCGCGATCAATGCCGCCTCGTCGGGGCGAAAGTTGCCCCCAGAAACGCGAGCACCCCATGACCCATCGTCGACCTGCACATCGTTGTCCTTGTACAGGTGTGCCGACCAGATTGCTGATCCCGGAAATTGGCCTTTCAGCTGTGCCGTTGTTTGGGTCTCTGTCGCATGAACGTCCGTGGGTACACCGGTCGTGACCGAGGGTCTGGGCAAGCATGGACATCAGCCGACCCAGCCCCGGGCGACACCGAAACAATCTCATGCTCCTGTTCGTTGAAGTTGTACTTCTGTACCCGTTACTCGAGGCCGTTCGCGAGCGCAAGCATTGCGGCGTTGTCGTTGGCGCGCTTGGCGTAGTGCTTGGGTGGGTTCCGTCCACAGTCGGACTTGTTGCTGGACTTGTTTCGCTGGTGGGCGAATTCCCCTGGGCCGGGACGATTCCTGTAGGCGGCAGGGGGAGGTTTGGTCGACAATTAGCTTACGATACCTAGCAACCATGTAGGTGACTTTCCAAACGCCGTGCAAAAAAAATAATCTGCTGCCAGAAATCTGGCGTTCAAACGCAACAAAATACAGGCGAGGCAAGTTTCGGAGTCACCCCCATACCTCGAGGAGCACTGCAGTGACAGTCGGGGCTCTGCTGTGCCGGTTCAAAGATTTATTGGTCCTCCCGCTCAAATTTGATTGGACGTTTTCGATGCCAGAGCCGAAAACTGAAAGGTGTCTCGGCGGTATAACCTCGGCTATCGCCACTTGCTTCAACCTCATCACCCTGCTTCGAAAGAACATAGGTCACACACCGCATCGTTAAAACCATCATAACCCCTGCCAATGGCCAAGTAGGGCTCATCCAAGGTAAGGCGTTCAATCGGCCTCACCATGTGCTCGGATGGCCTGTGAGGTGTGCAGGACAGAATGGATGGTAGACTTCGAACCAGTCCTCCCCAAGACCTTGGAATAGAAGCCGACCTGGACAGGGCGGAAGAAGAAGCACAATTTCACACGCAGAGTGGTATAAGAACAAAATATTCTTCGAAGATATTAGCTTTACTTGATATGTTGCAACGTTCAAGTAATATTAAATGCGAAAAGCCGTGTTCTTGGGTGAAAGGAGTTCGGGAGTTTCCAAATGTAGACGGGCGAAGAAAACAAGCTAAAAAACAACCCGAGGTGCAGTGTCATTAGAGCTGTGTCTCATTCGTCTATTGGGCCTCCCTCGGACACGCAAAAAAACACACTTGCCCGTGGGCCTCTGTCGCTGGAACGCACGATGTCTGGCCTTTCCAACGGCTGCGACGACGGCGAATAGTAGCAACAGCGGTAGCAGAAGTGGCACCATGTAAAACACGTTGCGGGAATGCGTCGATTTGCAGGTCGCGGAAGAAGTCTCCATTGGCGGCTACCCAAAAGCAAGACGAATAAAGCAAGCGACGAGGTGTTTTTCGCTGGTAGGGGTGACAACAAACGCGATCACCCGGGTTCGTTTTGAGGCGCTTTCGTGCATCGCCGTTTTTTTTTTAGGGTGTGTGTGAGAGAGGTGCCATGGGCACCGGCATGATATTAGGAACACGCATTCCAACGATATTGGATCGCCGAGCATGGCAATCTTTCCTATATGGTGTGTGCACCCCCAAACAAAACAAAGCCCAATGCAGGATGGGATAAAATGAGACCGCAGTGACGCAAGCACCACAATCTATTGTATGCCGCTCAAAACCATGCACACCAATGCCCGTCACAGGAATAATAGAGGTCAGAAGGACTTACCACGTCACGCGCGAGAAGGTCGAGTTGGGCTAGCCCCAGATCGTAATGAGAAGGCGCACGCACAGCGCATGACAGGTGTGACGCCACCTGTATCAGCTTCTGAAGCACCTCGAGCACCTTCTCGTCTGTCCCCCAAATGTCTTTCAATTCGGCGATGTCCTGCCTCTTCATGTACTTCTTCTGCGAGGGTGCAAGTTTTGTCGACAAATCGCCACAGGCATGGGTTCGGAGGGGGGGTTAATCCGGATCTTGTACGTCGCTTCGAGGATAGGGCGGAGAGGTTTTCTCGGAAATACCGGGTTGCACATGTCGCCCCGTGCTTGCAGGGTGCACGCAGAGGAGGACTGTGGGCGCCGTGCCTCAAGCTTCACCACTGCCGCGGAATGGGGGGGGCGGCGTCCCCCTGTCTCGCACGCCCTAGTTGTTACTGCTAGACTATTAACTGACCACGGGTACTCGAGAGGACCGATCACCGATGGCGATTCGTTCCTGCTTACTTACCGAATGTGGTTCAAAAGTGTTTTCCTGTATCTACCTATCCCATCAACATCACTTCCCGCCTTGTCAGCCCCATTCCTGTGCCCCAGCATAGCTACCGTCTCTCGTGCTAAATTCCATGCCTCAAACATGTCTCTGTATCTTCCTCCTATTTCGTCCAGTCCAGCCATGTACATTTATCTGTATCTTTTTCGTAAGGCGGACCATCAGCAACTATCATGTCGTATACGTACTCTCCTATTCATACGGTACGATCAACTCAAAGCAGAGGTCTCCTCCCCCCTCCGGGCGCTAATGTGAAAAACCTCACCATGGCTCCGACATTTGCAAGAATCGGTCGGAAGACGAGCAGCATGATGGACTGCAGTGTCCACTTGTCGCTCCCAGTGAGAGACGAGTAGTTGGACACGATATCCTTGAGACGCTCCGTGCCAGCTGGGTATACCAGAGAAAGGTTCTGAGCCACGACCGCCGAGACCAGCCGTCGACCCTGAGTTGACAACATCTCGAGGCAGGAAACTTGGCACAGCTGGCAGGAC